AAAACTAAAATTTAGGGGTAAAGAGATGGCCGCGATTTTTTCTTCAAAAGGTAAATTTTTTTAAGCCCCACCCATTGTACATAATAAAAACTAAAACAATACAAAATGTAATTAAAAAAAGCACTAAAACTAGTAACTAAATTATCATACAGTCCTACTCCCAGCGGTATCGTGCCAAGAACGCTGGCTGCGTTTCCCCACTGAATAGCTATACTTGGCCTTTGAGCGAGAAAAGAACCAGCCCTCTTAACACCAGCAGCAACGACCAGCCGCGGATGGAATTCCTTTAGGAACTTCGCCGCACGTGGACCCCACGGACCGATAGTCTCTACAGCAAATGGCACAAATATATAGTCATCTCTCAGAGACTCATATTTGCGCCACTTACTCAGTTCAGCTGCCTCTAATGCCGCCCCGGCTCTAAACGGGTACTATGGATGTTGATTAAGCTGAGTTAATATGAGAAATATATCCCAAGATTATGTAAACTAAACTTGCAAATATTAAAGCTAACGAACTCTCGAAAGAGGGGTTTAAAACTACTCCTTTTAAAATCTTGCAACTTTTTATATTTTCTTTTTTGCATTTTTTTAATTAATTGCAAGTAGCAATAGGACTAATTTTCTCGAAACTTTACACTGTTTCTTGCGAAAATCTCCGAAACCTCCCCTCATCCTAAACACCTCGTTCAATTAATGGACCGCCCCCTAAAAGGTATGCAAAAAAAAGAAAATCACTTAACAATTCCACCATCGTACACTGCGACAGAACTCGAAATCATCATCTCGATGGCTGGCGGTCCACTACTGTGCGATTTACGCGGAATTTTCCGCCTCGCACAACAAAACTGTGGAATATACTGTCGCCAGCGGTTTTTCCGCACCGATACGACTTAGAGTCCGCCAAAGTGTCTACGCAAGTAGCATCCCACACTAGGGCTTTACCTCTCTCCCAAGGGACCAATGTCATACCTTCGGGTCTCTTGCCATCGTCTCTAAATATTCCACAAGGCTCTAAAATCGAGGGAACATTTATAGAGAAGAGTTCTTTGGATGACATCGTTCAAAGAACCGTGCCGTGAAAACCTACCAGCACTTTTCTTACATGAAAGTCCGTGGAGACCAAACTTGTCGACGCTGCTACCACAGGGGCACTGATGGGGTTGACAATTCGCCGCTCCTAGTCGGATTCCTACGGAGATGCGCAAGCTTTCCCCATCAAGTAATGTGCCGAGATTACTTGATGATAAAGCGTGTAACCAGTGACTAGGTTCCTTAGTCAAAACAGCTAGAAAGCGTGTCTGATCTTAGTCACTATGGAAATATGAAACAAATCTTTCTGCACGTTCTGTACCAACGGAATATCCCACTGTTTTTGTTGGTTAACTTCCAGTGGAACATTTTTGCCGGGACAGAGCGTTTGCCATGTCTGTCCGGCCTCCGTAGCAAAGCACAGGTCTACTTTATTATTTAAAATTATGTTACATAAATCACTGACACTATGCACCGAAGCAAGAAAAGCAGACAATGCACCGCTAGAAAAGATTTCTCACACCAATACCACCAAATTTTATGGGTAAAGTAGCTTGAGTATTTAAAGTTAAATTTTGAATTTTTTCTATAGCTATTTTAAGATTATTATCAATATCTTTAAAAAGATCCGGACATTTCCAGACTGTATTCGAGCGGAGTAAGTACGTAAATCACCTAGATTTATATACACAAGGAGACAATATTTTAAAATAGTAAGAGCAATGTTGGGGTTTAATTTATACAATTTATCAACGTGGTTTAAAAACTGATCAAATTTTGTTTTTAAAACAGGTTTAATACTATCGAAAAACAGCGGGCAACTAGCAGGCATAGTGATTCCGTACTGACAGTTTTTATTTCTGGAGAAATACGAGTGAAAGGAGAATGCCAGATCGACCTTGTACAAAAAAAGTAAAAATATGATAAATAATCTTATGAATTTGGAAGTTTTTTGTAATTAATGGTTATTTTGTACAACTTGCGGTAAAATATTATTAAAAAAAGGAATTCAACGATTAATATTTACATTTCCAGTCTTTTCTAATAACATCTGCGTTTCTTAATACGAATAAGTACATACGTACGCATAAAGTACGAGTATCAAAGAATACATATTTCTATTAAAATATATTGTAAGTCTTTGTCATGTAAAAATGTTACTTATCAATTTTTATTTTCAATTATTATTATAAGTCGATAATAATCATCAATTGCATTAGATAATTACTGAATAACAATCATTGGTTTTCGTGCATTTTGTGAAATGATACACACACGTCATTGTGTCAATATCGTAAGTACGTAGGACATATTAATGTCGAATATTTTCACACATTGACTAATTTGTGCTTGTGAAATATATAATTGATTATGATTATATCACATTTTGCTTGTGCTGATTCCCGCTTTCTTTACCGTTGTACTTTTTCCCGCTTTTGCTGACGACTTATGCTTTTATAAATATACGGACTCGATCACGCCTACTTATTGACTTACTGCTAATTACTACGGACATTCTGATCCACGATGTTGAGGTGCACTAATTGTCATTTGCATTGATAGGATATAGGGGCATTTTGTGTCCTCATTTCGATTTACAATCTTAACTCTTCTTTCAAAATCTTTGTACATCGGAGATCTTTGCAGCAGATATATTTAGTTTTATAGCTTTGTTATATAGTTGATAATTTATGGTCCTGCCGTTGTCGTAAAATAAGTTACTAATCTGTAAATATTTACACCTTCTTCAGTCACATGTAATAATAATATACATCTTGAAAAATAATTTTGTAAATAATATAACTCGTTTACATGACTAGGACTTAGATTTCATGAAAAACAGGTGGTGCTAGTCTTATATTGTGTAAGGATCTTTTAGATCATATACAAGAGAACCCTTTTTCCAATGTTACTGATCATTATATAATTATGCTCCTTAAATTCTTAAATTCTTATTTTTTTTATAGGATAAGGGTGACAAACGAGCACACAGTCCATCTGATGGTAAGTGGTTGCTGCGGCCCATAGACATCTACATCTATCCTCTGTTTACAAATCAAAATGTAGATGCGTTGTCACCCGTGAGGACTAAGATGGAATGCCTCATTTCCAGTAAAAAGGGCTATTTATATATCATTAACGCCTGACAATTTATATTCTAATATTACAATAAACTGCAACGAATGCTGTACTAAAAATAAGGTAAATATAATTATTAAAGGCCAATTTAAAAAAAAATCGCAAGTTCTAGAGACTTCAAATAATATAATTTGGATGAAGTAATAAAGAATAAAAAAAATGCTACATACGGCGTTCATGTACACCACACTTTTGGGTGGGCCAAAGTTCTATAGAGAATCTCCTTGAATGGCATTCTCCTTTTGAATTAAAGTGTCTCTGTGAGAAGTAGATAATTTAATTTTAAAATCGTTAAATTACTGATATTATATTACAAAGCTTTTTTAGTGAATAGTTTTTAAAAGAACAAGAGCTGAACTATGGAATAAGATGAGGATGTTGATTAAGCTGAGTTAATATGAGAAATATACCTCAAGATTATGTAGACTAAACTTGCAAATATTAAAGCTAACGAAATCTCGAAAGAGGGGTTTAAAATTACTCCTTTTAAAATCTTGCAACTTTTTAATTATTTTCTTTTTTGCATTTTTTTTAATTAATTGCAATTAGCAATTGGAATAATTTTCTCGAAAGTTTACACTGTTTCTTGCGAAAATCTCCGAAACCTCCCCTCATCCTAAACACCTCGTTCAATTAATGGACCCCCCCTTAAAGGTATGCAAAAAAAGAAAATCACTTAACAATTCCACCATCGTACACTGCGATAGAACTCGAAATTCCATCCTCATCAGCTCGATGGCTGGCGGTCCACTACTGTGCGATTTACGCGGAATTTTCCGCTTCGCACAACAAAACTGTGGAATATACTGTCGCCAGCGGTTTTTCCGCACCGATACGACTTAGGGACCTTTAAGAAAAGAACATACTCCTTCCTAAAAGACCGGCGACGCTACTGCAATTCGAGTTGCGAATGTTCATGGGCGACGGTGATAACTTACAATCAGATGAGCCGCATGCTCGTTTGCCTCCTCTTCCATAAAAAAGAACATGAGTTGTGATAAAACCACTACACTGATTTACGAAGTCAAAAAAATATCAAGCAATTCCTCACTTGGAAACTTATCATCCAAGCAGCCATTTATTGGCCATCAGCATAGTAATATAATAATGCGAATGTTTTGACAGAAAAAACCCAATTGCTAATTTTGTCCCGACCCGGGATTCGAACCTAGGACCCCATGATAGACAGTTGCGTTTATGATCACTAAACTTAGGAAGCAGGCATATCCATACAATGTATAAAAGTAACCAAAAAAAGCACAAAGAAAATACTATATTGTTAATACTACATATACTAAATACTAAACTATACCCTGTTGTAAAATGGTGCGTAGGCATCAAAATGTTAGCTCGCGCCCTGCAATTGTCAAGTGGATTCGTACTAAATCGAGGAAAATTAAAAACAAACGACTTAAGTTCGTTGAATATCAAAGATGTCTTGGCGAGCAGCGGCCATTGTGGCCGCAACCGCCTTTATCATTAAATAAAAAAAGATTTTTATAAACAGTGTCCTTTATTATGGCCTAAAAATAATGAGCATTTGATATAAATTTTGCGTGGTATCATTATGGAATCTCTGCAAGGTACTCTATGGTATACCATCGGGTACCTTGCAGAGGTACTCTATGGTACGTAGTTTATAAACTATGTCAAGAATTTGTGTTTTTTTTAAACGAAATGAAAATAACAAACAATCATAGAGCCTACTACTTGTAGAGAGTAAGTATTTTGTGCACGTTATGAATTAGCAAGTAATAATCAAATAGGTAAGTACACTTACCATCAGGTGAGCCGCGTGCTCATTGCCTCTTATATAAAAAAGTGGTATACCTGAAGCGATTGCCAAAGCCCACCACGATGTTAAGCTGGGTAGAGTCAGGACTGCGGCTCCGGCCACCAGAATACTGTTAAGATGAAAATGTGGATATTATAATAAATATTAACAATAATAACCCTCTAACAGATTCTGTAAGCGGAGTGTATCTTTCCATGATCAACGGCTAGATATTCGCGCTTAAGTTAATACTCGGGTTGAGTTCAAACCCCGCCGGTACCACCGGTAACACTGCCACTTCTTCATCATTATCCCTAAACGCCCTCTGCTGGACATGGTTAGAACCAATCTTCGCAGTCTCGAGCACAAGCGCAAAGTGTGTTATAAAGTAAAGTGTGTACACAGAATACATTTCAAAGGGTATACGCAGGAATTGAATGAGTTAATTCCTCCCTTTCTCTATTCCATCAATAGACTTTTATAAGTGGAGCCACGCTGCAGCTATATTATGGTTGTGGTGCGAATGGGTTGGCTCGACCGGGAAGGACCACGCTCTCACAGAATACCAGTGTAAAATAGCAGTTTAATGCTGCTGTGTTTCGTATGGTAAGTGTAAAGTACCGGAGACCCTTTTAACTGAAAACGAAGCATTCCATTTTAGTCTTTAGGGATGACAACACTCGTTTATCACACTCGGCCGCTCTGCATAATGTGGGTGTCTTCAAGAAGAGAGAGAATAAGCTTTTATTAAGCTAATTTAGTGCGCTTCATTATCTTTGACTGCATCACCACATACCAGGTGAGATAGTAGTTAGGCACTGGCTTATAACATTAAGGTTATTACCAACTAGTGTAAACATATAGAGCAACACGAGCCACCGGCTGATCGGAGGGTAGTAGCCATACGCAGGCATTCTGTCAGAGTATAAGTACACGTGGTCTTATACGTACAATAAAACTAGTTGCAACCGCATGGCTCATTATACTAAATCTAGTTGCTTGGCTGAATTGACGTCCTACAAAAATACCGAATTGTTCAGTCTTTTGCTACAAAAACAGATCTGTTACATCAAATTTAAAAAATGATGGCTTTACCTTTCATATTTAAGTAATTTTTAATCAAATTATTGCTATTTACTTCTTTTTACACTTCAAAATCGCAATAATAACGGTCGTGTTGTTTCGGATTTGTGTACCAACACCGGCCGCTCGCACTCGTACAATATGCAGATCGGTCGAGCGGCTGATCCGAATCTGCAGCGATACTGTCATAATGTATCTATTATGTGTGTGTGAAATTGTTAGTCTATTGTTTTAATTGTTATGTATGAGTTTCGTAGTGACTGACAAATGTGTGCGCAGATCTCCCCCCGCAAAAAATGACAGACAGTTCTGTATTGGGGAAAAACTCTATGGCTACTCCCCTCCGTTCCACCGGTGGGCCATGTTGCTCTATGTGTAAACATAATATTATATAGCATCACAGAAATGGGAAGCCTGTGACCAGCAGTGGGATGAAACGAAGAGTTTTCTTTTTTACCTGAATAAATGTTTGATTTTGTTATATCGTGTCAACCTATCTGTATTGATTATAAGCCGATGTATTTCTTGTATCGATATGTTATTTTGGGTTACTAAGTCATTGGTGGTAGCCCCAGGGCTAAGCGCTCGTTATAAATTTAATAATATGCGAGCAACCTGGGTTCGATCCCGGCCGGCGCCAATGAAATTGTTAATTGCAATTTTAAGTGCTGATTTATCACAAGCCCGGCGGTGAAGGAAAACTTCGTGAAGAAACCTGTGAGAAATAAGAAAAAAAATATTTCACAGACATGTGAAGTTCGTCAACATACATTGGAACAGCGTGGCGAATATTTCCTTGCCCTAAAACCCTCTCAGAAATGAGAGGAGGCCTGTGCCCAGCAGTGGGACGTACATAGGCTTACTTCAACTAACTTTTAATAAGTTATAATAACAGAACATAAAGTAATTGCGGCGTTATTCCCACGGGCAAAGATTCCCACAGGATTTACTTCAGATTTTCTCGGCAAAAGACAATATCTCATCTCATCCTGATCTAATGGTGTCGTAAGAGTCAACTCCAGGAAATATCATATCAGACTGAGTATCGACCACGGCGACCAGTCTCACCGGAGGACAGGATTATAGTGCACGAGTGTGTGCGGAATGCAATTTGTAGGGAAGACCTATGTTCGACAGTAGACATATGTTCAACAACAGGCTGCAATAATGATGATGATGATCACTTAACTACGCGTCACAATGAAGCGTAATCAAGTTAACTAATAATAATGTCCTCCAGATAGAATTCCGGTCACGACGGTCAGACGGAGACTAGCTATCAGCGCAGGACAGGATTATAGTGCATGAGTGTATGCGCAAGCACAGGTGCACTCTCTATTGCCTCACTCTCATAGTTCTATGGCACAGTAAACCGACACGACCAGAGAGAGATCAGGCGCAGGACCATCGTTCGAGGCACGTGGATGAAATAGCGCCAACTTCATGACCCCGGAGTCACTGATACTGAGAATATCTTTACAGAAAATTCAATAAGTGATTTTTATTCCGATTCGGGATCCTGTGGTCTGGTAGTCGAGCAGTCGCGCTCGCCACTAGACCAACGACACAGTCAGATGTATAGTAGTGACAGTCAAGTCAGATGGATAGTAGTGACAGTCAAGTCAGAGGTATAGTAGTGACAGTCAAGTCAGATTGATAGTAGCGACAATCAAGTCAGATGGATAGTAGTGAAAGACAAGTCAGATGGATAGTAGTGATGACAATCAAGTCAGATGGATAGTAGTCACAGTCAAGTCAGAAGGATAGTAGTGACAGTCAAGTCAGATGGATAGTAATTACAGTCAAGTCAAATGTATAGTAAAGACAGTCAAGTCAGATGGATAGTAATGACAGTCAAGTCAGATGGATAGTAGTAACAGTCAAGTCAGATGGATAGTAGTGACAGTCTCGTAAATGATATGATGACATTCCTCTTTGTCGACTTTTACGAATTGACTACCACGGAACGCATTAACAGTGCATATATTTAGCAGCTATTTTACGCACCTGAGAATATACGCTTTCCTCCTGCAGAATAGATGTAGGTCACAGAGCCAGCCTAGACCGAGGCGACCACAAAGATCTAGCACGGCGCTAATAGCTACCAGGTGACCTGGAAAAGTTTAAAATAGGTATATATTACTTTAATTTAATTTTACTATGTTATATTGCTAGGTTTTATTATATGAGACGTGGTAGAGCCATGCTGCAGCTATATTATGGTCGTAGCACGAATAAGTCGGCTCGACCGGGCAAGGACCACGCTCTCACAGAATACCAGCGTAAAATAGCAGCTTAACGCTTCTGTGTTTCGTATGGTGAGTGTAGAGAACTGGAGACCCTTTTTACTGGAAACGAGGCATTCCATCTTAGTCCTCAGGGGCATCTACATTTTTATTCTTAATTGAGGATAAATGTGGGTGATCGTTTGTCACCCTTATTCTATAAAAAAAGTGTTTATTATAACGATTACGACACATAAAATATTGAAAAATTCATACATTCATAAAAACTTTTTATATTATCACTAGCTGGCCAGGCAGACGTTGTTCTGCTCTCTCCGACAACCCTGTGTCCTATAAAAATTCCTCATAAAAATATTGAGGGTCACTTATACGGATAAAAACTATCCTATCTCTCAAGTTGGACCAAAATGCACTGATTTCAATGAAATTTTGCACACTGTGTGCAAAATTTCATCGAAATCAGTTTAGTAGTTTAGGAGTCCATCGCGGACAAACAACGTGACACGTAATTTTTATATAAAAAGATAAGCACTTGCTTGTAACAGCTGAACAAGGACCGCTCTCTTCTCCAATCTAATCTCTTCTTCTTGGCGGCAGAAATACATAAGCGGGTGGTAACTACCCAGACGGGCTCCTAGACAATATTAGACAATAAAAGAGTTCTATCGCGTTTTAAATTATTTTTCAAATTAAAATCACATAATTAATAGCTCCTTATAGGCTTGGGCAAAAAATATCGATATATCGATATTTTTTAATAAAATTATATGTATTTATTTTAGGGTATCGAATTCGTATCAATTTCTATGTATTCCAAAATGTTGTATTAATGACAAAACATGTAACAACTGTTGTCGTTTTTATTTTTTCGTCGCCCAACCGTCAGTAATATAAAATTTTGAACCTTATCTTTACGTCATGCAAATGATGACGATATATCGATATTTATCACGCGACGCGTAAAAATATCGACTCGATATATATCGATATATTTTTTCCCTTGCTCATGCCTAGGTCCGTGTAATGGCGGTGTAAAGATATCCACTACCCATATCGTCCCGTCGGTGCCTTAAGAGGCGACAAAGGGCAACCAATCAGGAAATGGACAGCAGCATCTGCCTGATAATAGCTTAAAATAATAAAAAACTGCGGTTGCCAAACGTGGCAACTATGGCAAAATGCCCCCCTGTGAATGCGATTGTGTGACTTTTATAGGTAGAGATGGATGAAATCATATTCTCCTAAATCTTACCAGCGGCCGACTTGCTGTGTCCAGCGGCGACGGTGTACGCGGGCAAGTAGTACAAAGCGTAAGGAGACCCACACGACATCAGCGCCACCGAAGCGCACAGCAAACCGAATCTCCATGACTTCAGTAAGGACACGTCCAGATATCTGAAAATTTTGAGGGCACTGAGTGAGTAAAATACCATTATCTCTTTCTATAAAAGAAAAACAATTCAGGAAATTAATATATTAACTTTGGCCTCTCAATACATTTATAAAATGTAATGTACGTACACACAAATAAAAGTAGTTTTAAAAAAATAAGTGATATTCATTCTGTAAATACTAGGAACAGACACAAGCTAGTAGTACCAGTTACTCGACTCCACCGAGTTAGTAATTCATTCTTGGGGCGATGTATACGCTTTTGTTTAATGTATACATTTACAACAAAATCATAGAAAATATACAAAATTTGACCTGCTCAAAGTTCAAAAACTTTATTAAACAAAGTTTGTATAAAAAGTGTTATTATAATATTAAGGAATTTATGGATGATAATAACCCCTGGAATTGAGGTGATCGCTACCAAGCTATTTCTAATTTGTTTTGTGGTTAATTGTGTAACATACATGATTGTAAGCTGTTATTTAAAAAAAAACAGTCCCGCTGGATTTCTTGCTGGTTCTTCCCAGGATAGAGGATTTTTTTCGAACCAGTGGTAATTAAACAAAAGAGTGACTTTCAAGTTAACACCTTACCGAGACCAACCAGCAGTGGACGCTTCTAGTTCAAACATTCTAGATAACAAGGTATGGAAAAATTAGCAAAATTAATGGAGTATTTTTACTCCTTATAAGTAATTTATATGTAGGAGCGAATTTTATCCACTCTCCCTCCCTAGGGGGCGTCATAACCCCCCCCCCCCGCATCCCAGAGAATGTCCCGTAAAAAAGTACTCCATTAATCATGCCAATTTTTTAGCTAAAATGATTGAATTTGAACATGAGCGAGGTGTCAAGTTATGTCGCGCTTAGACGCGTTAAATACACAAGTGAAACCGCGGGGCACAGGTAGTCTTTAATAATGCGTTTTTAATTGATTTCGACTATATTGATGATGTTCTCATTTTATTTATATTGAAGTCAGTTGTACAACATTTTTTATTTTACCACTTGTGGTAAAGTTTTTATTTTAGTCACAAGTTACACCCACACGATGGAGTGGGGGTGATGCATTCTCTTACCCCGCTATTGCACGACTAAAGATATATATTATATATATATATATATATATATATATATATATATATATATATATATTATACCCCCTTTTTTAAATTAATATGGTCTGTGAACCGAAGATGACATCAACTTCACTCACCTTGAAATTTTATCAACGCATCCATTTTTCTTCTCCACTACAACTTCCGTGTTCTCTTCCTTTTGCACCTCCTCCTCCTGCTTCGTGTCGGTCACCGGTTCCGCCAACTTGCTTTGCACGATCCGGCTTGGTAAGGGTGGTCGGATATACAAAGATCTGAAACGTAATTTGAAGGGACAAGGGTAACAAGGAGACTAGACTACTCTTTCTCACACGCCCGCAGGAAAGCAAGAGAAACTGAGATAGCTAAATGGATAGTAGGCTGAAGTTGCAATGAGTCGGTCATATTGCTCGAAGAACCGTAAACCGAACTAGATACGGTGACGACCTGAATTACAAGGTAGTCAATGCAATCAGTTTTCCTACCATAAGGAATTGTTAAGGCGATGCCATAGCTTTTTTAACCCACTTTAAAAAGGAGGTTCTGAATTCGATTGTATTTTTTTTGTTTCCTCATAACTTTCTTCTAGGTGAACCGATTTTGATGATTCCTTTTTTTATTTGGGAGCTGGTGCCTCTCATGTGGTCCCTTGATCAAGGTATGATCAGTGTTTTTTGAGTTATTCTTGAATTGAAGTCGGTTGTACATTTTTTTTTAATTTTACCACTCACATGTTGACTTTCATAACAAGATTCCCTGTAACAATACTGCGTCGTCTAAGCATAAATTTAAAATACATGCAAAAAGCAATTAAAAAAACTTTATTATAAATTGGATGATTAATTAAAAGACAAGAATGCTTTAAGAAAATCTATGGAACAATCTAGGGAATAACTAAATCAAACTAAATTTTACGGATTACATCGCGTTTAATTTTAACTTTTTTAATTCCCGACGTTTCGGGTGCTTTACAGCACTCATAGTCACGGTGGGGACTGAGGTGTTTGACGTCGCGATGTCATAGTTAGCCCGGATAACTTCAGATTTTTAATATTAATTTTTGGTTCGGTTTGCGCAGACTGAGCTTACAGTATCTTGATTGATGACTTGCAGTGGTATGCTTGGGTTTGGATTTAGTTTTATTAATTATAGGATCCCAAGCAGATGGCAGAACCAATAAATCATCTCTATTGAAATTAGGATGTTTTTTTTAATTTCAATAACCTCGAAAATTAAAAGAAGAATTAAAAAAAAAAGTTAAAATTAAACGCGATGTAATCCGTAAAAATTAGTTTCATTTAATGTGTAGTCTTCGCGTAAATATAAGAAAACATTAGGGAATAATTGCCATAATTGCCACGCTTGTCATACGAGTTGGTAGCCGCTGTTTTTATTCTACCGATTTCAAGAAGGATGAAAGTACAAGTACTCAATTCGACTGTATGTTCTTTTTATTTCTTTTTTTTACGAAGTTCCTTATCGCACGGTACGAATTTGACGGATGTGGGCTAGGCGAGAAAAAGTGTAAGATATTTCGGTCATGAACCCCTTTCTATAGTGCGAGCGAGATGGAATAATATTCATCTCCCTTGCACTTTTTCTTATTTTGCCATGAAAGAAATATTATTTTAAATGATGCTTCATTTTAATAGAGCCTAGTTTTATTTGAAAGCTGGTGCTTCACTAGTAGTTATTAAGTTATTCTTAATAATTATATTGAAGTCGGTTGTACAAACTTTTAATTTTTAATTATTTACATCCAAATGTTATCAGCAAGATGCTGCTGCCCATCTCCTGGTTCAGTTTACCTCTGTCGCCATTTTTTGACATCTAGAGAATGATATAGGATAGAGTATATTCTTAAACCGCTATCCGCTACTAATGTCCTCCAATAATACTAAACTAAAAAACAAAACTACTAATACTAAACAATCTAATTTAATATAATCTGTATTACTTGAGAGTTACACGTGTTTTCATGCGATGGCCAAGTCAATCTATTTATAAAAGATTTATAGTATTGATGTGGTCACTATAAGATGTTGTTAGGTTAGTAAGTAATAACTTGAGACAGAAGGACCCTTAAGTAGGGACTGAATAAATTAACCGGCTTGGTATTACATGGATCTCACAACTTTTTACGGTAGAAGAACTGAGTTGCGAGACTTTGTTTTTTTTAAAGTTATGTTTTTGATGGCATTTATTGCTTACCGACTAAGTTTCCTCCGGCTTGCTTTATATACGCAAGTACTGTCGGTGGACAGATCTTCAACGGAGTGAAGGATCGATGAAGACCTGGTGGGCCGGAGACGGAGTCGCGCCACTTCTCTTGGCAACCCTGTATTGGTTAATTCGATATTACAGTCACTTGGTATCACTGTCTGGTCCCCATGGAAAGAAAGTTTTGTTCATGAAACATCTAGAAGAGTAGCAATGAACTCACCAACTACACCCAAAACGTCCAAACCCTCGGAATCCTCTGAGTCTGACATCTGTGATGGCAGCGTTGGCCGCGTTACCTGCAACGGCATATTAATTATTAATGAATTTTAATGAAACTTTTAATCATGCCTGCTATCACGTCCCGTCACTTCAGCGTTATTTAGAGTTTTTTTTTTTCGAAAAATGCTAAATGATGCGAATGAAGTAGAATGTAAAGATGTGTAAAAAATAGCATGCCAAATGAATTATACTTAATTTTCATTTGTCGTACTTTTTTTAGCTTAAAAAATAGTTTATCTACTCAAAAACAGGTGGGAGCCCTAATTAAAATAGAATAGAATAGAATTATATGGGATGTAATGGAATGGAATGGTATGAAATAGAATGGAAAATAACGAAACAGAATGGAATAGAATAGAATAGATTAGAATAGAATAAACTGGACTGTAATGGAATGAAATGAAATGAAATAATATGGAATGGAATGAAATAAAATGGAATGGAATAAAATAGAATTGAATAGATTAGATAGAATTGATAGTGGAATGCTTGTTTGTAACTATATAAACATACTATTATACAAATACCACTCGATATAGTTATAGGTATCCTACGTATTATGTACGTCAGCTATGTGACCACAGGTGAACACAGGTCTCCACTCAGCATTGAGTTATGAAACGACTAGGTCTGCCTTTCTGCTCCAGTGTACGTTGGTGGATATCATATGTCTTCGAAATATTTTTACTCTTCAAACTTACAGATTACTTTAAGCCTAATTTATTTTCACCGCCGAGAACGTAAATCAGGAAATTAAATTGCGATTTAACGGTGACAGTGGGGTTCAAGCAGATTGCTCGCGTACTCTGAGTTACTATGAGCTACTGGTACTGTGTGGATTCTCACGTCTGAAGTAGACAACTTACTTCAATTAGACTCGGGTGAATGATCTCCGTTAGCAAGTTTGTTTGCTTCAAGTCCTCGCTGAGTAGCGTATTCTTCTGGTTGAGTTTCAGCTCCGTTTCCGTATGGAACAGATTCTGCAGCTTATTGTCCTTGCTCGGGTCAGCTTTACCTGTGAAATAATTAAATCTGTAGTTAAAGATAATTTATCTTAAGGTTTGTAAGTCACAAGGACGGTTCGTCCATACCCCTTTGATATGGGCGAAGAGAGTGATGAATAATGTTTGCCTGATTAACTCAAGCAGCACCATTTGTGCAGCGGCTATACTCTTGAGTTAGCTCGGAGAAGGAACTCGATTATATATATATTTTTTTATAGGATAAGGGTGATAAGCAAGCACACAGTCCACCTTATGGTAAGTGGTTGCTGTGACCCATAGACATCATTTATCCTCGATTACGAATCAAAATATATAGGCGTTGTCACCCGTGAGGGCTAAGATGGAATGCCTCGTTTCCAGTAAAAAGGGTATCCGGTTCTCTACACTCACCATATGAAACACGGCAGCATTAAGCTGCTATTTTACGCTGGTATTCCGTGAGAGCGTGGTCCTTCCCCGGTCGAGCCGATCCATTCGTGCTACAACTATACTATTAATATAGCTGCAGCATGGCTCTACCACGTGTTTATGCTACGAATGACTTACCTTCCTGTATATCATGCAACAAAGTCGTGTTCTCGGTGGTGGTGGTCGTCACTGGGGTAACCGTCCTCGGAGTGGGGGGCGGTCGGTACAGAGTGGCCGACACGCACACGTGTAACATTCCCCCGCCTGAAGCAAAACAACTTTTATTTTTTAGAATAAGGATGACAAATGAGCACACATTCCAGCTGATGGTAAGTAGATATTGTGGCCTCTACATCTACATACATCTATCCTCGATTACGAATCAATATGCAGATGCGTTGTCACTGACAAGGATGGATTGCCTTGTATTTAGTAAAAAACGATTAAATCACGTGAATAAAAAATCCTGCAGCATTTATTCCTGGTGAATAAATTCTTACACTGTCAACCAGTGATACCAACTTGGCAAGTTTATAGCTAGATATAGCTATTTTTTGGTGACGGACAGCTACAATTTAATGAAATTGTAGCTAAAGTTTTTAGCTACTATTAGCAATTAGCAATCTAGCAACATTTTGAAAAATGTCTAGCAACTGGGTAAAGCTAGCAGTTGGCAACACTGCTGTCAACCCTTCGCCTGGGTTGACAGCATTAATGTGGCTTCTTTTAGATTTAAAACGATCAATTTTTAAATTTCACAAAAAATTTCAGGTTTTTCGAAATAAACGCATATGCCTAAATAACTCCTGGCAATGTTTTCTATCTGTTAATGAGGTGTCATCACAATTGGTTCAAGAATTCCAAAGATTAGCGTGAGCAAACATGCGACAATTTTTTTATACACGTCTAATGGCCCTAACTCCTGCCCCTGAACTCAGCAGAGGGTAGTTATTTCGATATTACAGATAGACCCTTTATTTTATTTACATGTTTAGAAGATAATATAATACAGTAACCCACCTAAAAGCAATACAGTCCCGTGGAGTCCGTACGTATCAACCAACTTCTCTATTAGCATCGGAAACACGAAGCTACCGGCCGCTGTCCCGCTCACGCAAATGCCATTCGCCAATGCTCTGAAAAGGGATGGAAATACTTTTACTCTCTACCTTTACTTATTTTTATGAGAATACTGCACATCGAATAAAACTAATTTTATGGATTTGATTGCATTGACTTAACTTTTTTCCTCGATATTTCAAGTGTTTTTATACGGTCAAGGGCGCTGTTGATCGGCATTGTTGAAACCATAGATAAAAATTTCAATATTGTATGGAGATTGGCGGAGCCCGCAATTCTCACGACACCCATGTAAAATCTTCGGAGGAAGGAGTGACTTAGGAAAAAAATACATCGATATATATCGAATCGATATTTTTAAACAGTATCGATATATATCGTGTGATAAATATCGATATATCGTTGTAGCGGACAGCGAGGAGGCCGCCGCCCCGTCGCCCTTTCACACCCCGGTGCGCCCCGCGCACCCCGCACACCGGAAGAGGATCACGCGATGTCGCCGACCAATCAGCGCGCGGCATCGCCTTACGATGCTACTCACGAACCAAGACGCTCTCTTGAGGCATATAAGAAGGGCGTCCCAAAAGAGGGTCGCTTTAGATATGGCATGTGAAGCTTTCAACAGCTGGTTGCCAGTCCCCAAAGGCAGTTTTTAGAGGGTATCACTTAGGTTCCCCTTGTAGGTCGTGAGTCCCTCATAACCACGATGGACCGGCCATCGTGGTATGCGTAATGCATTTTCTGCCTCCCTTCGGGGTAGCCCATTTCCAATTGCTTCGGGCGCAAAAAAAAAAAAAAAAAGACTGTGAGTCGTTCATTTCGGAAGCGGCACTCGAAGAGAAGAAACAGCAAGAGAAATCAAGAAGAATCAAGACTCCATAGAAATTAAGAAGACTCCCCTCTGTATAGTGTAGTTAATAGTGCCACATTGTAAATAGTTTGAATACAGTATAGTTCGACAGTACCATCTTTTCTTTAAGCAGTTCCCTAGCGTAGTCAGTTAATACAGTCCACTGCGATCCACAACAAGTTCTTGGTCCATCGTCGCCGGATTCAAGCCAGAAGAGAGAAGAAAGAACATAATTATAGAAGAAAGAACATAATTATAGAAGAAAGAACATATTTATAGAAGAAAGAACATATTTATAGAAGAAAGAACATATTTGTAGAAGAAAGAACATATTTATAGAAGAAAGAACATAATTATAAAAGAAAGAACATAATTATAGAAGAAAGAAGATCATTACAGAAGATCTTCGAGGAAGAAAGAAGTACGTCGACGAAGAGAGAAGATCGTCGGTGCTAACTCCTTCCTCGTTTCTTGCTTACATCTACGTCATATATATTGTCTGTTTCCAGACAATTCCTGTTTCTTAAACCGCGTTTACGCGGCCGGGTGGTTGCTCCCTAACGGTGCCAAACTGTGACCATCTGGTAACGCCCTTGAGGCGGGAACGGCGTCCAATACGTGCGTCTTTTTGAAGACGATCGGAGGTCGCAACGAGGGACACCATCATGCGGAAGACAAGAAGCCAGAAGACACGGAACGACGACGAAACGCCAGTAGGAATGCGGATATTCGAGGAAGCACCCGCATCCCCGTCCGATTATCTCGCGTTGGCACAAGCGCCCCCCGCCGCGCCGCAGCCCCCGCTCGCGCCAGCACCTATGCCCGCGCCCGCGCCGCCGCGCCCCGCTATGTCCGTGTCTACAACCGATCGCTTGGGAGAAGTTAGCACATCCGCGCCGCGCACAGAAACGCTCGCCGCGATAATAGAAGATCTTCCGACTACGGAAACTAGTTCGATAGTGCGTACCGTCGCGCCTGTAGCAAACGTTGTACATAGGCCCGCGTCCCGCGCCCCGTCGGTCCGTTCAGTCCGTTCAGCCCGGTCGACAGCTAGCGCAGTAGCAAGATTAAAACAAATCGAATATAATGCCGCGGAGCAATTGCAAATAGAGGAAGATCTCGTCAAGAAGAAATATGCTAGGGATATCGCGCAACTGCAAGAAGAAACAGATAGGGAAAGTCTAAACGAGGACGAATTAGTCGAAAATAGGGTACGCGTTGATAGGTGGTTAGAAAACGTAGAGACTGTGCGGGGGGAGCCGCCCTACCGCCCGTCTCAGCCCGCGCCCCGCATCGAGATAGAGCAGGCCCCGCCGAGTAGGGGAACCGGTTACGACCACGCTGAAGATGCCCAGGGGAGGTTGGTCAACCGCGCCGCGTAAATACGATACAGAGGGACAATGGAGTCGCCGTAGAAATGAACCAGGTGGATCGTCGTGTACGGGTTACGTCACCGTCGCGCGTCCAACGCCGCACTCTATCGCCTACACATAGATCGCCACATCGCCACGCGGATCGTAGATTACCGTCGCCGTGTCATAAGGATGTAGGTGCACGTAAATCGCCATCGCCACATCACCACGCGGATCGTAGATTACCGTCGCTGTGTAATGATGTAGGCAGAGATAAATCGCCACATCGCCTTGCGGATCGTAGATTACCGTCGCCGTGTCATAGGGATGTAGGTGTACATAGGTCGCCAGCGCCACAGCGTAGGCTAGAAGGAAATAGTGATAGAGATAGTTTGCTCACCCCGCGAGGGAAGGATAGAGGTGTATAACGGCTAGCGGAAGCTTTCGAAAGCATAGTTAGGGTTAGACCACCCGCCGCGAAGCAGACGCAGGGCTTGCCTATTTTTAACGGCTCGGACGCGGAATGGTTAGCGTTTAAAGCCGCGATGAATGAATCCACGCGTTTATATGGATTCACAAATACGGAAAATATGGCAAGATTAAGGAACTGTTTACGCGGTGAGGCTAGAGAGGTAGTATCAGCTCTGCTGTTTACCGCGAAGGATCTGGCAGACATTATGCGGACACTGGAGCAGTGTTTCGGCCGCCCGGAAGTAATTATAAATCGTGCGTTAGAAGAATTAAAACGCCTTCCGCGCCCGGGTCAAACCGCCCAGGAATTAAACTCGTTCGCGATTAAATTACAAAATATAGTGTGCATTATGCAGAACGTCGACGGCAAGGGCTATTTGCGTAATCCAATGCTGACTAGGGAGGTTACTAGCAAACTTAGCCCTCACTTACGGTCGCGTTGGTGCGATTATGCGGAGCACTACGGAAGTGCGGACGACCCGGACATCGTTACGTTATCCCGGTTCATGATGAGAGAGGCTGACCGTGCGTTAAGTCATGCCTATACGTCCGTAACGTCGACTAAGGAATCGCCCGTAAGACGAGAGGCGCCGCCGTCGAAAAGAATAGTGTTAACACGCCGCGTAGAAGATAGGGCCCGCGACGTAAAGACGTTCACCGCCCAGGAGGACACCGGTAGTGCCTCATGTATGTGTTGCGGGGGTGAACACCCTATCGTCAAGTGTAAGAAGTTAGAGCAAATGGGCTCGGACGACCGGTGGAAGTGGGTTAGGGAAGATGGGGTATGTTTCAAGTGCTTGAGCAGTAAACACCGACGTATACGCTGCAAAGCTAGGAAGTGCGGCGTCGACGGCTGCAACGCCCCCCACCACGCTCTCCTTCACACCCGCAAGGCCCGTACGCCTGCAGCGTCGGTTAAACCGGACGAAACCGTGCTCGTCGCGTCGAGTGTTAGCAGTAGTGCGTCCGTATTGTTAAAAGTGTGCCCGATAACCGTGCGCGGACCGCGCGGAAAGGAAGTCAATACGTATGCGCTACTTGACGAAGGCTCTACGATATCGCTAATCGACGACGACTTAGCTCGCGAGTTAGGAGCGGAAGGACCGGTAAAGCCACTCAATATTAAAGGCGTAGGTAACAGTCAACGCGAGGCTAATAGTAGATTAGTCAATATAGGGATACGTGGCACGACGCGCAGCGAGATGTTTAACATAAACGCGCGAACAATAACCGACTTAAAGATAGGCGCAGTCTGTGAGTAGGGAGTGCTTACGATTAAAGCACTTACGTGACTTACCGAGTTCGGTGTGTTACGACGACGCGAAGCCGAGATTGCTATTAGGCGCCGACAATTGGCATTTGATAATTACCCGTAGTTTAAGGATAGGACGTCGAAGGCAGCCTATAGCTGCACGAACGTTATTAGGACGGGTAATCCAGGGAACCGCGCCGCGGTTAACGTGTAGGGAAGACGGCGAGACCGCATTACACGTAGAGAGCACTAGCGGACGGTCAGATAGGGACGTCCGAACGTTTGCGAGTCAGGACGAGGAGCTAACGGAACTTCTCAAACGGGAGTACGAGATAGACTCTATAGGTATCTCGCTAAAGAGTAGGCCGCGACGGGATGAGGAGCGCACTGTCGACATATTCCAGCGTACCGTCAAGAAGGTCGGCGAGCAATACCAAGTTGGACTGCCATGGAAGGACGACAACGTGCGGATGCCACCCAGCTACGAGATGGCAGCGCGAAGACTACGGACAATTGAAAGGAAGATGGACCAGTCGCCGGAGTTTCGTGACGCCTACACAGCCCAGATAGACAACCTCCTGGCGAAACGATGCGCAAGGGAAGCTGAGGGGACAGAGCGAGAGGATCCCAAGAGCTGGTACCTGCCACACTTCGCAGTACGGAATCCGAACAAGCCGGGGAAGACGAGAGTAGTGTTCGACGCGGCAGCGCGCGCTCATTAAGCTGCCTTAATGATTATTTACTCGACGGCCCCGACTTACTACGGAACTTACCGGGCATACTGTTTCGATTTAGGGAGAACGAGATAGCGGTGTCCGCGGATATTAGGGAAATGTTCTTGCGTGTGAAAATCGACCGTCGCGATCAGTCCGCGCAGTTGTTTCTTTGGCGAGGAGACGAGCGACACAGCCCACCGCGGGAGTACGTTATGACGTCTATGATTTTCGGTGCGAGGAGCTCGCCGTTTCTCGCACATAGTGTTAGGGATCATAACGCGCGCGCACACGCAGAGACACACCCGTTGGCACTTAGCGCTATCGTACGTAGCCATTATATGGATGACTATTTAGACAGTTATGCCACGGTAGAGGAAGCGGTAAATACGGCGAAGCAGGTTTCGGAAGTGCACCAGCAGGCCGGTTTCACCTTGGCAGGATGGAACTCTAACCACGCAGCCCTGTTGGAAGACAAGCCGGAGGACTTACTGGCGCGTAAGCCTTAGAAAGTAGGCTTAAGACAAGACAGCCCAGGCAGAACCTTAGGGTTATTATGGATGGCTGATGAAGACTCCCTAACATTCAACACGTCAATGAATAGGCTGCCGCAAGAAGTAAAGGCGCTACAGCGACCACCGACCAAGAGGGAAGCATTAAGCGTGGTCATGTCCGTTTTTGACCCGCTTGGACTGCTAAGTTACCTCACCATCACCGCCAAGATCCTGCTACAAGACCTATGGCGTATGAAGAAGGTCGGATGGGACGACGAACTACCCGAGGAGGCAGCAGAGGAATTTCAGAGGTGGCTGCGAGTCGTCGAGGAGGTATCGCGACTACGACTGCCAAGGTGCTATGCTCCTACGGGGGGAGTGGTAGAGCGTCAACTTCACGTGTTCAATGATGCGAGCGAACGTGCGTACGCATCCGCGGCGTATTGGCGTATACGATATCGCGACGGAACGATTAGGGTACGATTAGTGGCGGCTAAGGCGAAAGTCGCTCCAATTAAAGCGCAAAGTATACCGCGATTAGAGTTGCAGAGCGAACTTAATAGGCGCGCGACTCGCGGAATTCGTACAGGGCGAACACAGAGTGGTAGCAGATAGGGTCGTATATTGGACTGACTCTACTACGGCGCTCCACTGGATACAGTATGATACGGCGCTTTACACTCCATACGTGGCTCACCGGTTAGGGGAGATAGCTGAGAAGACATCACCCGAGCAATGGAGGTGGATACCGACTGCGGAAAACGTAGCGGATCAAGCGACGCGTATGAATTTCACAACCAAGGAAGAGAGTGACAAGTGGTTTACAGGACCACCCTTCCTCTACGAGCATGAAGACAGATGGCCTCACCGACAGGAAGAGAAGGCGGGGGATGATGAAGAGTTGGAGGAAATCGTGGCGCACCAGAGCGACACCCAGGAAGCTCCACACCTGCCAGACATAGGGAGATTCTCTGCCTACGAGAAGTTAATCAGAGCCACAGCGAGAGTACCACAGTTCATCGATGCGGCACGAGGAAGAGCACAAGGACTGACATTACAGCACATCTAGAGAGTAAAACGGATGTGGATACAACATAGCCGGCGGGAAAGCTTCGCTGAAGACATCAGCCGCCTTCAGCGGGGAAGGAATTTGGCCACCGGCAGCGCACTAAGGAAGCTCGACCCCATATTGGAGGATGGAGTGCTACGAGCCAGGGGAAGGATCGACGCAGCCGACGTGGACGGCCAAATGAAGAGACCCATTATCCTGAATGGACGTCACCAATTTGTAAAGCTGCTTGTGGAGAAGGCGCATCAGGAAGCAAGCCACGCCAACAGAGAAAGAGTGGTGAACGACCTGCGCACTAGGTATCATATCCTCCGATTACGACCCACAGTACGAGAAGCGGAGCGGAGATGCCTACGATGCAGAGTACGGAAGGCGACACCACGACCTGCGGTTACAGGGGACCTACCACCTGAACGGTTAGGGGCGTTTGCGCGACCATTTACGTACACCGGGATTGATTACTTCGGGCCTCTGACGGTTACGATAGGATACGGCACGAAAAACGGTGGGTGGCACTGTTCACGTGCCTAACGACGCGCGCAGTACATCTAGAAATAGTCTACTCTCTGACCGCGGACTCGGCGATATCGGCATTGCGGCGCATGGCGGCTAGGCGTGGGTGGCCACGGGTTATTTATTCTGATAATGGGACTAACTTTCATGGGGCGAATACAGAACTACGACGGGCAATGGAAGTGTGGGCGCCACAGTTGAAGGATTACGCGCTGACTCGGCGCGTCGATTGGAAGTTCATCGCACCGGGTGCCCCTAACCAGGGAGGCGCATGGGAGCGTCTCGTGCGCTCAGTGAAGACCGCACTCGAAGCCACTCTCCATCAGAAGAGCCCACGAGAAGAGACGTTGGCAACGCTTCTGACTGAAGCCGAAAATACTGTGAATTCTCGACCGTTGACGCACGTACCGGTCGACATCAACGATGAAGAGGCGCTGACACCCAACCACTTCCTACTGTTGGGACCATCGGGCCTGCCAGTCACACCCACACACCCATGGATCGTCGGGCGTGGAGAGCGGCGCAGGGGCTCGCCGACGAGTACTGGAGGCGCTGGGTGAAGGAATACCTGCCGACGCTGGTCGCGCGCGGGGACTCCCGAGATGCTCAGCAGCGCCAAATACAGGAAGAGGACCTCGTCGTGGTTGCGGACAGCAACCTACCCAGGAATGTGTGGCCGCGGGGCATCGTAACGAAGACGTTTCCTGGACCAGACGGCGTGGTGCGCAACGTCGAGGTCCGGACCAAGGGAGGAGTGCTGCGGCGGCCCGTCAGGAAGATCGCCGTCCTCCCGAGAGAAGCTTAGGCTCGCAGGCTACGCCGGGGGGAGGATGTAGCGGACAGCGAGGAGGCCGCCGCCCCGTCGCCCTTTCACACCCCGGTGCGCCCCGCGCACCCCGCACACCGGCAGAGGATCACGCGATGTCGCCGACCAATCAGCGCGCGGCATCGCCTTACGACGCTACTCACGAACCAAGACGCTCTCTTGAGGCATATAAGAAGGGCGTTTTGGACTGTGAGTCGTTCATTTCGGAAGCGGCACTCGAAGAGAAGAAACAGCAAGAGAAATCAAGAAGAATCAAGACTCCATAGAAATTAAGAAGACTACCCTCTGTATAGTGTAGTTAATAGTGCCACATTGTAAATAGTTTGAATACAGTATAGTTCGACAGTACCATCTTTTCTTTAAGCAGTTCCCTAGCGTAGTCAATAATACAGTCCACTGCGATCCACAACAATCGTCATCATTTGCATGATGTAAAGATAAGGTCCAAAATTAATATAAATAAATAAAACAAAAACGGTTGGACGACGAAAAATAAAACGACAACCAACCACACATGAATACTTTTGTACCCCCTTTTGTTGTTATATGTTTTGTCATTAATACATTTTATAATATATCGAAATTGATACGAATTTGATACTCTGAAATAAATATCGTTATATCGATATATCGCGATTTAATATATATATATTATAGATAGATATTTTTTGCCCAAGCCTAGAGTGACTGAAAACCAGCGCTTCGTAGGATCTCAATCCCATGTTGGCAATCGCTGATTCACCTTAGACTGTCTAAATTTAATTAAGGTTAAGTGCTTAGTTTAAATGTAAATTTGTTTCTCCAGTCTGGCATTAAAATAATATTTATTTACATACCTGTGCTTGTCGAAGTATTGAGACACAATGACGATACCAGGAGTCGTAGATAGACCGCCACCGATTCCTATAAAAAGATGAAATGTATTAAATTATTTTCACATCAAAATCACACCAAAATATCACAGAAAAAGTTGTTAGGTATAATTTAAGTTTTACTTATAACTCTAAATGTAACTGCCTGTTATTAAATGAACGTTATTATTAATTATAATTGTAATTATTTACCAGTCATAACGCCGAAACTGAGCAATAAATGCAATAAACCGGTGCTGAAGTATGACAGGGCGAGTCCAGTGGCGCAGAATAGACCCCCGATGAAGACCACAAGTCTGCACGAGTACTTCTCGCAGAGAGCGGAGGACAGTGGTGCTGAGGGCAAAAGAAAACTAAAATCAATATGAGTAATTTTTTGGCCGTAGAAGGAAGAGAAGATCGCCCGCCGGGAAAGGTGTTCAGCCCGGGGAACGGTCAATGCTCCGTGTGTTATTTCGGAGCTGTTCTATATATAGATAGCGCGTTAACTTCAGAACTTTGATAGTGCGATTTAGGCTTCTTCGCGTTGCGTTTGTGGCGCGACGACAGCGCAGCGACATCACCCCCTTGCTCAAATCGATAGATATGTATAGGTTGATAGTGCAATCTAGTTGTCGACGAATGTGCAAATGCCATGGATTGCTTTGTAGTCTGCGGTGAGTCGAGAAGAAGGCAAGTAATCTGCGAGAGTGCCGTGAAGCAGAGGCGAGCAGTAAGGCTCAGAGCCGTGCCGAACACTGTAGCGCAGAGAGTAGCTTGAAGGAACAGGAAGCATTATTATTCCAGTGCTGCGATGAACCTTGTAAAGCTAGATGGCTTGCAGGATCTGAGAATGGATGGGGTACTTGAAGATAATGACTGAGGATACAGTTTCCGAAGGTTAGTTGTGTGTTCACATCACGTCGGGGTCACCAGTTTCAAAGGAAAGAGGGGAGATCTCCCGCCGGGCAAGGTAATTGACCCGGGGAGTGGCCAAAACTCCGTGCGTTATATCGGAGCTGATCTATATATATCGCGTTAACTCCAAGAATTTTGATAGCGCGATTTAGACTTCGGTGCGTTTTTTTTCGCGCCGCCACACTTTCTTTTCGTTGCGTAGTGGTGATGTTAGAGAATTCATCACCTCATTTCGTTCCATTGGTGTCGTAAAAGGAGACTCTGGTAAAAGCCAGAAAAGTCTCCCGACCTCGGATAGATTTCTTTTTCGGAAAACTGAAAAGGATCTCACAGTTCACCTTATGGCTACATTTGTAGCTACTGCAGTCCACGGACACCTGCAGCCAAGGGCAAGCAAAGAAGGTTACACATGCGTTGTCAATTCTGTGGACTAAGATGTAAAACCTCAAGGCCGGTAATAATATTGGCTTTCTTCAGCCTTCAGCCGAAACACAGCATTTGCTAGGACCACTATCTGGTGGAACAATTAGATAAGAGGGCCTCCTAGGTTAAAGGAAGTCCTACCTTTCCTCTCCATCGGTTGTCAGTTATTCAAGCTGTATTGTTTATTTTTTTTTTATTGAAAAGGGAGGCAAACGAGCATGCGGCTCACCTGATGGTAAATGACTATCGTCGCCTATGAACAACCGCAACACCAGGGGAATTGCAGGTGCGTTGCCGGCCTTTTAGAAAGGAGTAACCTCTTTTCTTGAAGGTCCCTAAGTCGTATCTGTCCGGAAAAATCTCCGGCGGTATACAATTCCACAGAGAAGTTGTACGAGGAAGAAAACTAAGTAAAACGCACAGCGGTGGACCGCCAAGCATCCAGATGTTGTGGATAGTATCGGGAATTTTGACGCAATGTACGTTATTTATTTTAGTCTCTATTGCACCAAATATTTGTACAAAAGGCGAGCTATATGACAGGCCCATTGCCACTTCAGCCTACAGATCCTTTGGGCTATGTCCGTTACTCTGGTTCTACGGATATCATTGCTACGGATTCACGCAAATCCTCATCAGCGATAAAGGACTTCGTCATAGTCTCCGCCAATACGTACTAAAGCAGCTACTAATTGCTCTATAACTTTTAGTAGTAGGCGTGGGCCAAGCAGTGGGATGCGTGAGTAGGAATGTGTGCGTGCATGCCCACGCACGTGTGTGTGTATGTGTGTGTGTGTGTGTGCGCGTGCGTGAGTGAGTGTGTGTGTGTGTGTGTGTGTGTTTGTGTGCGTGCGTGCGTGCGGACGTGCTAGTGTGCGGGTGTACGAGTAAGCGAGTGTGGAGTGTGCGAGTGTGGAGTGTGCGAGTGTGGAGTGTGCGAGTGTGCGTGAGTGTGTGTGTGTGTGTGTGTGTGTGTGTGTGTGTGTGTGTGTGTGTGTGTTTGTGAGAGTGTGAGTGTGTGCGTAGTAAGTTAAGGTGCAATGTGTAACAATTGTTCCGTTTTATCATAATCAAGTTTAAGCAGCCAATATGTAATATTATATTAACAGTACGGTGCAATTTGTTTGGTTTATTGGCGTCTTTTGACCAAAAATTGTTCTAAACCTTATTTTTAATTAGCCGATAGCTTCCTAAAGTCAAGAATTGTATCATAGCATCCATATTTTTATTAGAGGTACTCGTAGAGCCACGCTGTAGCTATATTACAGCAGTAGCACGAATGGGTCGGCTCGACCAAGGAAAGACCACGAGACAAGACTCTCTCAGAATACGAGCGTAAAATACAAGTTCAATGCTGCTGTGTTTCGTATGGTGAGTATACAGAACCGGAGATCAGTTTTATTAAAAACGGGGCATTCCATCTTAGTCCTCAGGGGTGATAACGCATCTGCATTTTGACTTTTATCGAGGATAAATGTAGATGTCTATGAGCCACAGCATCCACTTACCATCAGGTGGACTGTGAGAACCTTTGTCACCCTTATTCTATAAAAATATATTCTTACCAAGCGCCAAGCACAATGTCGACAGCGCGGCCGGTATCCACGAGGCTACGGACTCGGAGGAGTCCGGGAAGGTTTCCATGATCTCCACATACAGAACACCATACGACTTGAAGAGCCCAGCCACCCAGAACTGGACCATGAAAGCGCCGAACACCACCACCCAACCGTATCCGCCGTCTGTCGGAATGCTGCGGAAAGATCAAAGTTAAAAATATTTTATTCAATTTATTTTTATTTCAAATTCTTTACGTTATGTTACGTTTCTTACGTTCTTTACGTGGTAGAGCCATGCTGCAGCTATATTAGTAGTATAGTTGTAGCACGAATGGGTCGGCTCGACCGGGGAAGGACCACGCTCTCACAGAATACCAGCGTAAAATAGCAGCTTAACACTGCTATGTTTCGTATGGTGAGTCAAGAGAACCGGACACCCTTATTACTGGAAATGAGGCATTCCATCTTAGTCCTCACGGGTGACGACGCATCTGCATTTTGATTCGTAATCGAGGATAGATGTAGATGTCTATGGGCCACAGCATTTACTTACCATCAGGTGGACTGTGTGCTCGTTTGTCACCCTTATCCTACAAAAAAAAGTTCTGATGAGAGATAAATCTACCATCAGTTCCAAAAGTCATATCTTTACAATAGACAAGTACAATGGTCAAAATAGTATCAAATTTAAAAAAGTCCGACTGCGGTAAATATTCCGCTGTCACTATCGTATATAGAAGCAAATAATTTAAAAAAAAAAACTTAAATCGTCTTCAGCTATGTTCGCTGAACAAAAGGCAATAAAAGTGTATATTTGATTTTAATTGTTTAGCTAGCTTAGTTCCTAGGAGTATTAATTGTGAGTAATAACTAATAATCAATAATATATAATAATTTGAATACAAAGCAAAAACGCTTGTTTTGTTCCTTTTATGAAATCTTTACTCTCATCTAATAACTAATCTAATAACATTCTATACGTAAAAATCTATCAAGCCTCTGAAACCACATGGCGTTCCAAAGAAATAGACATACACTCGAAAAAACACTAAACTCCTTCTGGGGCAGTCGAATAAGAACCGGCACCCTTAGTGGACATTGCTATTGATTTTGGCTGCTACGCATGTATGTATGTATTGTATTGTATCGTATGACATCTTACGAGTTATAATAATATAATAATAAAGTGCACAAGTGTATGCACAAGCACAGGTGCACTCTCCATTCCCTCACTCTCGTAGTCCGATGGGACGGCAATTTGATACAACCGAAGAGAGATCTAGTTCAGGGCACCGGTATTAAACACAACCAACTTCCTGACTCCGGGCTGCTATTGAGTACTACTTGTCAAGAAAACCCAATAAACTGATTCAAACCGGGGACCACATGTTCAACATGTGGCCAACTACATGGATAAATTAATTTTTATCCAGCACGACCGTAGACCTTTTTTACTGGAACAAGGCATTCCATCTTAGTCCTCACGGGTTTTACAACAAATCTGCATTTTGGTACTTAATCGGGGATAAATGTAGATGTCTATGGGCCACAGCATTCACTTACCATCAGGTGGACTGTGTGCTCGTTTGTCACCATTATTCTATAAAAAAAAAAACTATTACTCACTCAGTGGAGTCGGGACGCGGGCGAAGGTTCCTTGACGCGGCCAGCAGAGGGCGCGCTGTCACGGAGGACAGAGTCAGCAAGGAGTCCTCCTCCTGCTCCGTTGGTGACATCGCTGACAGATAGGCGCCCACTTGCTGAATTGTCAAAGATTTACACTTCTACAAATATAATAAAATTGATCACACTCAAAAAGAGGAAAGCACCGCAAAAGACCACGTGGCATTACAAGAAATGTTGTAGATAGATGTCGTTTCTATAAAAGAAAATGCGTGCGTTTGGTTTTTTTCACGTGCAGCTATATTACAGTAGTATAGTACAGTTGTAGCACGAATAGGTCGGCTCGACCGGAGAACGACCACGCGTTCGCTGAATACCAGAGTAAAATAGCACCTCAATGCTGCTGTGTTTCGTATGGTGAGTGTAGAGAACCGAAGACCCTTTTTACTGGAAACGAGGCATTCCATCTTAGTTTAGTCCTCACTGGTGACTACGCATCTGCATTTTGATTCGTAATCGAGGATAGTTGTAGATGTCTATGGGCCACAGCAACCACTCACCATCAGGTGCACTGTGTGCTTGTTTATCATCCTTATACTAAAAAAATGGTATATAATAGATAATAATGTTACAAGATGTTTTGCTTACGCAAGAAAGTTTGTTGATATACTTACTGTGGTTGGCATTTCTGCACAAGAAAGTTCATTTGTTGTTAAACAATAACACCGTGTTGACCGTGTAGTGGCGGTGTAAGAATATCCAATACCCCATATCATCCCGTGGTCGTAAGAGGCGACAGACGGAAACAAATCAGGAGATGGATAGCAGCGTCTTCCTGATAACAGTTGAATAAAAAGATGCGATTGCCAACCTCCCTGCCAAGCATGTCAACTATGACGCAATCCCCCCCCCCCCCCACCCTATGAGGCATTCTATGGTGGCAGCCAAGCTAACAAAAAATACTACACATAAACTTTCTATTCGAAAATTGAAACTGATTTGAGCACAGAATAGTTATCGTTAACCAGCGTTGATTTTTATTATAGTGTTATCTAATTATAGCAAATTAATCAGAGCCTTAAATAAAGCAGTCTGATTTTTATCTCTGTTTTTAGTATAAGGTTTTGAATAAAATATCAATGAGTCTATTTTTTGTTAGAATAGAATAGAATAGAATAGAATAGAATAGAATAGAATAGAATAGAATAGAATAGAATAGAATAGAATAGAATAGAATAGAATAGAATAGAATAGAATAGAATAGAATAGAATAGAATAGAATAGAATAGAATAGAATAGAATAGAATAGAATAGAATAGAATAGAATAGAATAGAATAGAATAGAATAGAATAGAATAGAATAGAATAGAATAGAATAGAATAGAATAGAATAGAATAGAATAGAATAGAATAGAATAGAATAGAATAGAATAGAATAGAATAGAATAGAATAGAATAGAATAGAATAGAATAGAATAGAATAGAATAGAATAGAATAGAATAGAATAGAATAGAATAGAATAGAATAGAATAGAATAGAATAGAATAGAATAGAATAGAATAGAATAGAATAGAATAGAATAGAATAGAATAGAATAGAATAGAATAGAATAGAATAGAATAGAATAGAATAGAATAGAATAGAATAGAATAGAATAGAATAGAATAGAATAGAATAGAATAGAATAGAATAGAATAGAATAGAATAGAATAGAATAGAATAGAATAGAATAGAATAGAATAGAATAGAATAGAATAGAATAGAATAGAATAGAATAGAATAGAATAGAATAGAATAGAATAGAATAGAATAGAATAGAATAGAATAGAATAGAATAGAATAGAATAGAATAGAATAGAATAGAATAGAATAGAATAGAATAGAATAGAATAGAATAGAATAGAATAGAATAGAATAGAATAGAATAGAATAGAATAGAATAGAATAGAATAGAATAGAATAGAATAGAATAGAATAGAATAGAATAGAATAGAATAGAATAGAATAGAATATTTTTATTCAATATACATTACATGTGTAATTCTTATTGAAAGTCATTTTTTACTTTACCACTGGTTCGAAAAAAACCCTCTGTCCTGGGAAGAACCAGCAAGAAACCCAGCGGGACAGCTTGCCCTCCCCACAGTGTGGACTTTTATAGGCTTTTTTATAGAAGAGGGGGCAAACGAGCATGCGGCTCACCCGATGGTAAGTGCCTACCGCCGCCCATGAACAACCGCAACACCGGGAGAATTGCAAATGCGTTGCCGGCCTTTTAGAAAGGTGTAAGCTCTTTTCTTGAAGGTCCCTAAGTCGTATCGGTCCGGAAAAATCACAACAATAAACAATTCCACAGAGAAGTTGTCGAGGAAGAAAACTCCTAGTAAAACGCACAGTCGTGGACCGCCAAGCATCCAGATGGTGAGGATGGTATCGTGAATTTTGACGCGATGTGCGTTCGTAAAATTTGGCGGCTGGAATTAATCCGAACAATTCCTCAGAGCACTCCCTGTGTAAAGGTAACAGTAGACTTACGTAGAAGGCATATATAAATTTGAATTTGAATTTCGAACAAGATTCGAGATCCAATAGAAAATATAGACTTAATAAGACATAAGAGCCGACTATTTCTTATATTAAGCGCATATTACATATTAAATGAAGCTAATTTAACGATTTTATTGCATTTAATAATAATTTCTTATATTTACGCAAACACTACACTATTAAATAAAACTATGTTTTTACAGATTCTATCGCGTATATTAAATTATTTTAAAAGTGCTCTAAACGTCGGGAATATAAAAAGTTAATACACGCGATAGAATCCGTAAAAGCTAATTTCATTCAGATTTTAAATTACCGACGTTTCGGGTGTTTTACAGTACCCATGGTCACGGGGAATTTTTACCATCCGTCAAGTGTAATATCCCCTACAAGATCCAGAAGCGTACAAGCTTGATGGTAAATGTGTACCCGTTTACACAGGACAAACAAAAATATCTATAAAACCTGCGTAAAAGAATATATATCTGACGTGAAGCACCTACCCTTCGTGAAGTCTGCAGCCTATAAACATGTTCAAGATCGTCCCCGTCATTTCATAAGATTTGATAGATCCCAAATTCTTGTAAAAAAAAAACATCAATTCCTACCAAGGATGTTTCGCGAGGCTATTGAAATTAAAAAAGAAAATCTTAATTTCGAGATGCCAGATGTTACTATGCAATTGTAGATTGTGTACTAACAGTGGTAGAGCCACGCGGCAGCTTTTGCTGTCGCATGGATGGGCCGGCTCAAACCGGGGTAGTACCACGACCTCACAGAAAACCAGCGTGAAGTAGAGGTTTACCTCTGCGTTTCGCTTGGTGAGTGCAGGTGGCCGGAGGCCCTTTTTACTGGAAATGAGGCATTCCATCTTAGTCCTCACGGGTGACAACGCATCTACATTTTGATTTGTATCAGAGGATAGATGTAGATGTCTATGGGCCGCAGCATCCACTTACCATCAGGTGGACTGTGTGCTCGTTTGTCACCCTTATCCTATAAAAAAAAAATTGATAAAAAACGGTCTTAATTAGTTCACACAATGAAAGGAATGTCGAAGCGTAGAAAAAACTAAACAGGTGTGGCGAACACGTGGGTAAAATAAAACTGAGCGCGAACAAAGGCGTTATAATATAGTATAATAATAATAATAATAATCGACCGCGACTTCCCCGTATACCCCTAAGCAAGCGGAATCGGGCTGTCGTGAGGGCTCTCAACCCAATGCTGGTGACCTATTTGGAAGCCAGCCGGGACCTTTGCGAGACGGACTCAATTCTTTTTGGCGCCGCACTGGCAGTTTGCCGTATTATTGGCGCTAAACTTCCCAAGGCTGGACGCGCTACTAGACAAAGTAGCGCCATCCCAGCCTGGAGAATAAGGATTGAGGACCGTATCGCAAAGGCAAGGGTCCTCATCGGCAGGCTGATAAGCTTCAGGTCGGGCAATAATAAATAGGCTGAGTTTTGTGCGCACACACAGCGAGGGCCCTTGGACGGAAGTTGTGGCGAGTCAGTGTGCGAATGTTACGCCCATGGACCCCGCCATCATTACGCCGGATGACGTAGCTGAGGCGTTCCGTAGGGCCCCGAACTGGAAAAGTCCGGGACTCGACGGACTGCATCACTACTGGCTGAAGGGGTTCGTGGTGTGTCACGCTGTTCTCGCCCGACAGTTTCAAGAGGCTCTCGACCAAAAGTCGCTCCCGAGCCTCTTCACTACTGGGATCACTCATTTGGTTCCTAAAGACCGGGATTCCACAGACCCGAGCAAATACCGCCCCATAACGTGTCTACCTACCATATACAAGACACTAACATCCATTTTGAGCGCGAGAATCACTCGTCACCTGAACTCAAATCAGGTGATGTCGCGCGCTCAAAATGGATGTCGGGGCGGCGGTCGTGGAACCAAGGAACCACTCCTCATTGACACGGTCATTGGCAAGGTGGTTAAACGCAACCGTCGGAACCTCTCCACCGCCTGGATAGACTACAAAAAGGCATTCGACTCGGTGCCTAATACATGGCTTGGGAGGGTCCTCGAGCTGTACAAGGTTGACTGTACAGTTCGAGACTTCCTCGGGCAGTGTATGGGGCAGTGGAGTACGATCCTTTGTCATCTAGGCCAGCGGATAATGGCTGCGGAGAACCACATAAGGATAAGAAGGGGTATCTTCCAGGGCGATTGTTTGAGTCCAATCTGGTTCTGCCTCTCTCTGAACCCTCTTAGTACCTTACTGGAGGGTTCCGGGAGGGGATTTCAGCTTCGGAGAGGAGGTACAAAAGTGACCCACCTTTTCTATATGGATGATCTCAAGTTATTCGCCTCCAGTCGCTCTCATCTTATGGAATTGCTAAACATCACTTGTGATTTTAGCAATTCTATTAGAATGGAGCTGGGGACGGATAGTGTGCGGTCCTCCATGTCGAAAGGGGTAGGGTTGCCAACTCTGACGGCATAGACTTATCTATGCCCATCAACATAAAGACCCTATCCGAGGCTGAAACATACCGATACCTGGGTATGTCACAGAACATAGGTATCGATGAGGCGGACATAAACAGTCAGTTTGCGGTGTGTTTTATGCACGCTTGACAAAAGTGCTTAACAGTCTTTTGTCGGGCGTTAATAAGACACATGCATATAACGGTTGGATCATGCCTGTTCTCATGTATACCTTTGGCATGCTCAGTGGACTCAGACCGAACTGAACGCTCTGGACAGAAAAGTCCGCACTATAATGACGTCCCACAGGATGCATCATCCGAGATCGTCAGTAATGAGGCTGTACTTGCCGCGGAAGCATGGTGGGCGCGGCTTTTTAAGCGCGCTTACCATGCATAATCGCGAAGTGTGCAGCCTCCGTAATTACTTTCTGACGAGAGCGGATGATCCATTCTATAGGGACGTTATTTCTTGTGATAAAGGACTTACCCCTCTATCCTTAGCCAACGAGCAATGGCAAGACCCGGCAGTACAGAGCATTTCCGACCGGGAGACCGTATGGAAGGAGAAGGAGCTCCACGGGAGGTTCTACAAGGCTCTACATGAGCCTTGCGTAGACACAGTCGCCTCCCTCCACTGGCTACGTTTCGGTGACCTCTTTGGGGAAACTGAGGGTTTTGTCTGTGCAATACAGGATCAGGTTATTAAGACCAACAATTATCGGAAATACATCCTAAAGGATGGCGCCGTCGACATCTGTCGAGCTTGTCGCCATCCCGGTGAGTCACTTAGGCATATCATCTCCGGTTATTCGGTGCTTTCTAACTCTGAGTATTTGCACAGACACAACCTAGTAGCCAGGATTCTACACCAGGAGCTCGCTCTGAAATACGGTCTCGTGGATCGGAAACTGCCATATTATAATTACTTGCCAGAAGCCGTGCTTGAAAAGACCGCGCCAGGCTCTGCTGGGACCGGGCCATCATCACGGACAGGACTATTCTTGCGAATAAGCCTGATATTGTGCTGATGAACCGGGCACAGTCAAGGATATTTTTGGTCGACATTACCATTCCTTATGACGAGAACCTCGTGAAAGCCGAAACAGATAAGTTGACAAAATATCTGGACCTGGCTCACGAGGTGACCGACATGTGGGGTGGTCTGCCGGCCGAAATTATTCCTGTGGTCGTCTCTGCGAACGGGTTAATCCCAGTCAGCCTCTCGGGTCATCTGAGGCGACTGGGACTCCGTGACGGATCGCTCCAAGCTCAAATGCAGAAGGCGGTGCTCCTCGATACCGCCCGCATGGTCCGCCGGTTTCTTTCCCTTTCCCCCTAACCCTCGGCCGTTTGGTCTCCCCTGCCGAGGGCTTCCATCTGGTTGGGTTTTTATATATTTATGTAATTTTTATGTATTTATTTTATTTTATTGATATTTATGTAAGTTTATCATTTTCATTTACAATTATTTATTTATACAGCCCAACCAGATGAGAAAACTATACAAATACCCCATAATAATAATAATTCTTTATTTCAGATATCAAAGATCCATAAGTTGTTAGTATGACTTATATTAGGTTAGTAATTGAGAACATTAAATAAATTTAATTAAATTAAATCAAAACTAAAATCAAATCTATACCCAAAATTAAATTACAATAAAATCAAAAATAAAAAAATAAAAATAAAAATAATACTCAAATAATAGTAATGTTAAAATAAAATAAAATTAAATACAATCAAACAAAAATCAAATAAAATCAATCGAAATAAAATAATGTCTTAATTAAATTAGATTAAAAACAATCAAAATAAAATAAAATATCAAAATAAAATCAGATGAGGTCAATTTGGATTTAATCTAAATAACTGTGTTTCAAAATAACCCTCCTCACAAAGCAGGCCCAAAGCGGAGAAGTATACCTATCTGCCAGGGTTTGCAGAATGCTATTGGGACTGCCTCGCGCTCTAAATATCAGCGATGTGGTTTTCTTGCGAATAATGGCTGAAAAGTCGTCAACTTGGTATTCTGCAAACATCGCTGATGCACTACAGAAACGAGGTTATGGTCATAAAAGTTAATAAAAGGGATGCTATGCGATGTATATGAATGCGAAAACAATAAGATAATTTAATAGTTACAATATTTTTTTATAATTTAATAATTGCAATAAGATAATTGAAATTAAAAAAATCTTAATTTCGATAGAGAAGATGGATAGGTGCTGCTATCTGGCTATGAAAAAATTGCACATACGTTTCCTCCTGCTTAAAGTCGGACCTAGCATTTTATAATAATGTACTCCTACCACTAAAGCCTCTCTATGGTCAAACTACTCACCCACTACGAATATAACTTACAGTGGCTAACGGTAGTTCGAGTAACAGGCTCGCCGGGCGCTCCCTCTGCTCCGGTGGGAGGGTCCTCTGCTCGGGGGGTGCTGACTGCACCGACAACAGGGAGCCTGCATTGTCCGGTGATAGAGCCGCCTACAAAATGATAATAATAATAAACATTTATTCATTACCACCAATAAAATTACAATGAGTAATGTTTACACACTATAACCAAAATCTTTAGGTATTGTTTTAAGTATTATTTTTGTGACATATTTCTTTATAAGCTATTGCAGCTCTGCCCTGTCTTAATTTTGATAGTATTTTGTAATGCCGTGTCACCTATAAAGGTGCACACATCAGACCCTAGATTAAGCCCACTTTCAATAAAATGTAATAATGTGTGCACTGCTGGTGTCCAATGAATAAATAAATAAACGAGTTGAATGTAAATTCAAGAAAAACAACTTCCCTCTGCGTGAATCCCATATCACTGGTGCCCTTTGACCTACAGGACCCAAATTCAAACTCGACCGAGCTACTACCTCAAGGTATCCACATACCAAATTTAAAGTCAATCGGTCCAGTGGAACGGAAGTTATCGTGTCGGCATACAGACTAACAGACTGCCAACTAAAACCATTAACTTCCTTTCAATGCTACGCAGAAGGAAGTTAATAGAAATGACATAGCGTAGTAATGTATGGGCTACACCTCAGCATAAATTTTCCAGTTGCGCAATCCTGCAACAGGCGCCAGCAGGCGCATAATTTGAGATCATCCATATAGTGGGTCACTTTTGTACCTCCTTTCCGAAGTTGAAATCCCCTCCCGGAACCCTCCAGTAAGGTACTGAGAGGGTTCAGAGAGAAGCAGAACCAGATTGGACTCAAACAATCGCCCTCGAAGATACCCCTTCTTATCCTTATGTGGTTCTCCGCAGCCGTCATCCGCTGGCCTAGATGACAAATGCCCCATACACTGCCCGAGGAAGTCTCGAATTGTACAGTCAATCTTGTACAGCTCGAGGACCCTTTTAAACCATGGCTTAAAAGGGTCCTCGAGAGGCCAATTTGATCTTCTCTTCCAAGTGACCACGAAAATGCACGTCACTCGATATGTCGACGCCGAGGATTCCGATACTGACTGAGGCAACCAGGGGGGGGTGCCTTGAAACTGAGGAGAGATACGACAAATGGGGTTCCTTTTAGCGGTAAACGCGCAAACTTGTGTCTTCTGAGGATTAAACTGGACTAGATTTGCATGCACCGTCTACTACGACCTTGATGCTCCGATCAACCAGAAAACTGGTGATCCAATTGCACAATTTCTCGGGAAGCGCATAGGAAGGAAGCTTCGAAAGGAGCGCTTTGTGCCATACTCGGTGCCTCATACATCATGTATGGGTATATATATATACCGAGTCGAATACCTATTTGTAGTCTATCCAGGCAGCGGAAAGGTTCCGACGGTTGCGTTTAACCACCTTGCCAATGACCGCGTCAATGAGGTGTGGTTCCTTGTTTCCACGACCACCGCCCCGATATCCATTTTGAGCGCGCGACATCACCCGATTTGAGTTCAGGTTACGAGTGATTCTCGCACTCAAAATGAATGTTAGTGTCTTGTATATGGTAGGTAGACACGTTATGGGGCGGTATTTGCTCGGGTCTGTGGAATCCCGGTCTTTAGGAATCAAATGAGTGATACCAGTAGTGAAGAGGCTCGGGAGTGACTTTTGGTCGAGAGCCTCTTGAAACTGTCGGGCGAGCACAGCGTGACACACCACGAACCCCTTCAGCCAGTAGTGATGCAGCCCGTCGAATTCCGGACTTTTCCATTTCGGGGCCCTACGGACCGCCTCAGCTACGTAGTCCAGCATTATGATAACAGAGTCCATGGGCGTAAAATTCACACACTGGCTCGCCACAACTTCTGTCCAGGGCCTTCGCTGTGGTTTACAATCGCTATCCACAGGCCGCGCCAGAATGTAACTGTGTCAGCCTGTTTCGGTGCTTGGCCCATTCCACGTATCATTGGTCGCTCCAAAGATTTATAGAGCCTCTTCTGATCACTTTGGAAGAGACGATTCTGGTTGAACCGTGTCGACCTCTCGGTATATCGCCGAATCCGCTTCCCCCAATCAGCGATTCTCTGCTTCAGGTCGTCTATGCGCTCCGTCAGTTTTTGCGTAATATCCGACTGGGACAAGCTCACGTTTGTCGCAGCAAACGTCAGCATCCTGACAGTGCACACAATTCTTGGGCTGTTGTTGACCGAATTTCGGTCACGGCGACTAGTCTCAACGGAGACTAGCCATCTGTGCAGGACTGGATTATAGTGACCGAGTGTGTGCTTAAGAATCTTTCTAAAAGGCCGGCAACGCATCTGCAATCCCCCTGGTGTTGCGGTGTTTCATGGGCGGCGGTAGTCACTTACCATCAGGTGAGCCATATGCTCGTGTGCCGCCTCTTCTATAAAAAAAGAACAGGTGCACTTTCTATTCCCTCGCCTTCATAGTCCGATGGGACGGCAAACCGACACGACCGTAGAGAAATCAAGCGCAGGACCGGCTTTACGTGCTTCCCGAGGCACGGGGGTGAACCACTGCCAACGATATTGACCCGGCCCGGGATTCGAAACCAGGACCTCAAGATCTGTAGACCACCAAGGCAGTCATAAGCCCGTATTAATAAACGTTACTCAACGACTAACTTAAGTGCGTAATCATTTGATAGGTCCACATTACGATATCAGCATCTCAAGATCGGTGCTAATTAATAAACTCACAAAAGCAGTATCTTAAAACGCTGTACTTAGGAATACTTTTCTGTGACTTGCACTCAAGTACACACACTTGAGAGTCGAGTTTCGTTTATTAATCAATGTGGCATTCAGCTGATATCGTAAACCAAAGCCGCATCTTGAGATATGTTTATTAATAAGACCACAATCTCAAGATTGTACTCAAGTGCGTGTACTTGAGCTGAGTAACGTTTATTAATACGGGCCATAATAATTAAAATGTGTACCTCGACAATGGTGTCCGTTGCCGGCAGATCAACGGAACAGGACAACGGAGCGGTGGACGTTGGTGGCGCTGAAGTGCCGAGCACCTGATCCTCGAGCCTTGCGAGTTCCTGCAAGCAATAGTTTAGGTATCAGTTTAACAAGCATTTGTCATGGCAGAGCCTTACTGTAGATATATCATGGCTGCTAAGATAATTATTTGACTGTAAAAACTTTGACGTCAAAACACATTCATATCTTCTTCTAATATATAAAAATTTATGTTTGTTTGTTCGTATTTTATGCGCTGCCATACAGTTCAACAGATTGCGCTAAAACTTTGTCAACTTATTGATTACACTTGTGCGAAGGTTATATTATGTAAAAATACTTTTTATTTCATTTATATATCATACAACTTCAATGAATGTATCATTTATTTTCCTAATTAAATCTTTTGTTTATATTATCAATTAAATATACTTAAATCCTTAAAAATTTAACTAATATTTTCACAATTATTTCGTTCATCTATTCATGTGCTACTACTAAAATATAGTGCTCTATTGTCACCAAATCAAAACATCGAGATCCACTCAATTTAAATAGAATAGAATAGAATAGAATGATTTTTATTCAATATGGATTATTACATAATACTTATTGAAAGTCATTATTTTATTTACCACTGGTTCGGAAAATACCTCTGTCCTGGGAAGAACCAGCAAGAAACCCAGCGGGACTTTTTTTTAAACATAATTTCACTTAACAATAATTTTGTTTATACAATTTTAAATGAATTTTCATAGAACCAGCATGGTGGCGATCACCTTATTCCCAGGGGTTATTTTCATTCATGTATTCCTTGATATTATAATAACCCTTTTTGTACAGTTTTTCTTTAATAAAACTTTTAAACTTGTTTATTGACAAACTTTGAACATGTTCTGGGATTCTGTTGTAAAAGCGTATACATTGCCCCATAAATGAATTACTAATTCTGTGGAGTCTTGTAAGTGGCATTACAAGCTTATGTTTGTTCCTAGTGTTTAAGGTATGAACATCCTTATTCTTATTAAAGCTATTTATGTTTTTATGTACATACATTACATTTTCATAAATATATTGGGATGCCAAATTTAATATGTTTATTTCTTTAAAATTTTCTCTAAGGGACTCTTTACAATTTAGATTATAAATCGCCCGTACGGCTCTCTTTTGCAAAACAAATATAGCTTCAATAATCAGCCGCATTACCCCATAGCAAAATTCCATAAGACATTACGCTATGAAAGTAACTAAAATACACTAACCTAGCTGTCTCAACATCTGTGAGACTTCTAATCTTTCTTACAGCATATGCTGCAGAACTAAGTCTGCTTGCTAATTTAGATATATGGGGGCCCCATTGAAGTTTCGCGTCAATAGTAATACCGAGAAAAACAGTGGTATCCACAAGACTCAACTCCTCCCCATTTAAGAGCACATTGGTTTTCGAATGTTTTACATTAGGTATTGTAAATTTAATACATTTTGTCTTATTGCCGTTTAAGAGCAAATTGTTGGCGTTAAACCAATGTACTAGTTTCGATAGAGCATTATTTACATCGTCATATTTAATTGACTGCCGTTTCAGTTTGAAAATTAAAGAGGTATCGTCAGCAAATAATACTATATCGTGATTGTCCCCTACAAGATAAGGTAAGTCATTAATATAGATTAAGAACAGGAATGGGCCAAGAATCGAGCCCTGAGGAACGCCCATTAATACTACCGATCCGGAGGAACATTTACCATTAATGACGACTTTTTGAGTTCTGTTATTTAAATATGAAGTAATAAGTTTAAGCGCCAAATTTTTTACACCGTAATGTTGTAGTTTCCTGATTAATGTATCATGATGAACACAATCGAAAGCCTTGGAAAGGTCACAGAAAATACCTAAGGCATCTTGTGAATTCTCCCAGGCATTAAAAATATATTTCATAAGCTCAACACCGGCGTCAGACGTCGAGCGACCCCTTGTAAAACCAAATTGATTTTTATGAAGTAATTTATTTGTATTGTTACGAGTTTGGGGTTCGAGACAATTAAAAACTGCCGATTGAATTACCAAAATTGACACTTTAATTACTCAACACTAATTACAATCTAAAATCACACTAATAATAAAACACAGTTCGCCGTTATTTCGCTTCGAAGTATTCTCTTGTATCGCCAATTCAATACTGCCTCGGTCGTGGTCTATACCGGCCTTATATAGGGCCTCAGACAGTTTCCAGAATCTTCTACTGTAGCGACATCTAGAATGTTCGAGTACATATCGGTCCCGAAATTTCTGGAAGGATCTTGACTCTCCTAGTTCTGCTAGTCGACACTAGAGGGCGCTAGTGTAACTAGTGTTGCCATGTACAAGACATTAATAGTGGCGCGCAATACTTTCATTTACTCGACACTAGAGGGCACTAGTGTAACTAGTGTTGCCATGTACAAGACATTAATAGTGGCGCGCAACACTGCCCCCTCCTAAGACATGCTCGTCTCGAGCATTAATGGCCCCATAATAACGCGCCAGTCGATCCACATGGACAATCTTAGGAGTACCTCTGGCACCTTTCTGTATCCGGTAGGTTACATCATTGATCCTTGTCACAATCCGGTACGGTCCGTCCCATTTAGCTTGAAGCTTAGGAGATTTCCCTTTGCTGCGAACTGGATTGTGTAACCACACTAGTGAACCTTCATCAAACCCCTTGTTGTTCATTTTGCGGTCATACCGTGTTTTCATCTTCTCAGACGTTTGCTGGCCCGTCTGTCTGACGTGCTCATAAATGTCATTCATTTTGTTCCGCAAGTCATTTGCATAATCGGTTATACTGCGTGGGGCATCAGGTGGTATTCCGGTGATCAGGTCTGCAGGGAGCCGTAATTCTCTCCCAAAGTTTGCGAAAGCTGGAGTCACTGACGTACTTTCGTGAACAGCGCTTCGATATGACAACAAAAACGGTTGTATGTGCCTGTCCCAGTCTCGTTGCCGTTTTTCCACAACTTTTGCCAGGTACCTTTCCAATGTCTGATTAAATCGTTCTACCATTCCATCAGATTGTGGGTGGTAAAAAGTTGTTCGTGTTTTATGAGTACCCATAACTCTGCAAGTTTCCTGGAATATTTGAGACTCGAAATTCCTTCCTTGATCGCTGTGAATCTCTAAAGGTACTCCAAAACGACAGAAGACTTCATGAACTAGTTTATCTGCAATTGTTGAAGCTTCTTGATTTGGAATGGCGAAGACTTCTGGCCACTTAGTGAAGTAATCCATCACAACCATGAAATACTTGTTACCACTTTCACTTTCCGGAAATGGCCCCGCAACGTCAATGGCTATCCTCTCCCATGGTGCACCAACATTGTACAATTTCAATGCGCCTCTACTACGAATTTAGGTCCCTTTACAGCCGCACAACTTGTACATTTGCGGCACCAGTCCTCGACATCGTCACGACAGTGGACCCAGTAAAACCGTTCTCGGATTTTCAGTAGAGTTCGTTTAACTCCCAGGTGGCCTCCTGAACAACCACTATGGTACAGCTGTAGAACATCCGGTACTTTAGCCTTAGGGACAACCATTTGCAAATGACAACTGTCTCCCCGACCATTTTCCCATTTACGGCACAGGACTCCATCCTGAATCAGCAAGCTGTCCCATTGGGCCCAATAGCTTTTCGTGGTCGAACTCATTGCTGAGACGTCGCTCCACTTGGGCTTAGGAGCACTGGCCTTCATCCATTCCAGAATCGGCTTAATATCCGAATCTTCCTGCTGTGCATGTTGTAGGCTGTCCTTCCACTCATTGCTGAGCTGATCTGTCCTGAGCATCCTCACAGATACCACTTCCTTACCCTCTTGCCTAGTACAATGCTTGCAATCTTCAGGGCAAGGTCTTCTTGACAATGCATCTGCATTGCCATGAGATTTCCCGCTGCGATGTTCGATCACAAAGTCGTATTCCTGCAGTAGTTCAATCCATCTCACAACTTGTCCTTCCGGATTTTTGAACTGCAATAGCCATTTCAGTGCAGCATGGTCAGTTCGTAAGTGGAATTTCCGCCCTAGAAGATATTTGCTAAAATGCTGCAAGGACTTTACCACAGCAAGCAATTCGCGTCTTGTGACACAGTAGTTCCTTTCCGGCTTTGACAATGACTTGCTGAAGTACGCTATCACAATCTCTTGGTCACCATTCCGTTGAGACAACACACCGCCAAGTCCTATATCACTTGCGTCTGTGTCAACTATGAATTCCTTGCCCGCATCAGGGTACCCCAAAATAGGTGTTTTGCACAGACGGTTCTTGAGCTCCTGGAATGCAATATCGCAACTTTCATCCCAGCAGAAATGTCGCTTCTCCTCGGTTAGCTTGTGCAGAGGTTTGGCTATATCTGCAAAGTTCTTCACAAATCGCCGATAATAAGAGCACAAACCCAAAAATGCTCTAACCTGTGTCTTGTCTTTTGGAACCGGCCACTCCTTGACAGCGGCAATTTTTTCTGGATCCGTGCGGATACCTTCTTCCGACACTACATACCCCAAAAAACTAACTTGCCGTTTGAATAGTTTGAATACGGCATATGAAAGGTTTGAATAGCACTTCTTTGGACTCAACTTGAAGTTGGCACTCTGGATCTTCATGAGCACGCATTCCAGGTTTTGAAGGTGTTCCTCAAACGTACGGCCTACGATGATGATGTCATCCAAATAGACCAGACAGGTATCTCCAATTAGCCCGGTAAGTACAAGCTCCATCAATCTTTCAAACGTTGCTGGAGCATTGCACAATCCAAACGGCATGACTTTAAATTGCCACAGACCCTTTCCTGTGGAGAATGCAGTTTTCTCCTTGTCCTTAGGGTCAATTTCAACCTGCCAGTAGCCACTTTTCAGGTCCAGCGTACTAAACCACTTTACGCCTGTGAGCATGTCCAGCGTGTCATCAATTCTAGGCAAGGGATAGCTGTCCTTCTTCGTAACGTCATTCAGGCGGCGGTAGTCAACACAAAACCGCATGCTGCCGTCCTTCTTCTTTACCAGCACCACAGGTGAACACCATGGACTAGATGAAGGTTCAATAACACCATCC